TTTAAAAATTTACTAAGAACTGTAATTAAAATATATTTTTCGTCATATGATAAATCCTCCCTGAGATATGATCGAGGGACTTTTTTATATAGACACCTATGTACTCGATCTGTTTTATTAATTAAATAATAACCTCTCTCTGTATGTATAATTAAGTTATTTACTATATTTGGGTTTGAAATTACTGAAATTACAATTTGTATTCCCAAACGTTTTTTTGTTACTATAAAAAGATTATGTTAATTTATCTTTAACTAAATAAAAACTGTAAGATTTTATTTGCTCTGATATTTTCAGTGGAAAGATTTTTAATTGAATGAATACACCCCTGCACCCGATGGTTCAGCCAGGGTTTGGTTTTTTATAACAGACATTTGCCTAATTTAATATCTCCCGACGAATTAATTTATTTCATAATAACAGCGTATAGAAATACTTTCTGTCGTCAATAAAGTTAATATCTTTTATTAAAATTATGTTCACTGGAATACTGGAAACAACTTTATTAAAAATAGTTCCCATACTTATTCTTTAGACATTATTTGCTTTCAACTAATTTTTGATTGACATGAACAAAACAGAAAAAGTTATTTAAAATTACAATCATATACAGGGTGATTTCACTTTAAATACAGAAATCGCAGAACTAGATTCACTACCAAAAAATAAGTAGGGTTTGTTCTATAAACTTTTTTCCTTTGGGATTCGGTCGAGATACATACAGGGTGTAAAGTTTATAAAAAAATGTATATTTTCTGCTATATCTTCATAATACGCTTATTTCTACAAAAAACTACCAGTGGCATATTTTTTTTATTCATTCACTAAAAGGTTTAATTACGTGAATACGCTGAAAAATGTTATTCAAATCGTTCGGTGTAATATGGAAATATGACCGAAAATATATTTTTTTTTAGAAACTTGATAAAAAATTCAGGAAAAAGCAATAGCAGTATTCTGCAATTGACTAATTTTCTTACTATGATAGATCTGGGATGTAGTTCATATTCATTTTTTTTCATTAACATACTTCCAAAATGATTTTGGATTGTTTTTCACTTATCAAAAAGGGATTTTTAATAAAATAAAATACGTTTTTTTTAGTATTCTAGACTTTCCAACATAGAAAATACATAAATTAGTTTAGTACACACTCATTTTCAAATTCATCATTATCCAGGATCATTACTTGGATTTCCATAATAAATTACTGCAATCAATTTCCCTATCAAATTATCGTTTTGTCGCCAGGAATTTGCAGATCCGATATTACAGGTGACATCATTGTGACCTGTCCTAAATCCTTAGTATGATCCTTACATGAACAGATTTCGTCCTTAATGTTAAATAAAGGTATTGAAATCTACAGGGTGTGGCGTTTAAGAAAATGCTCATCAATAAACGTTTCAAGTAAAACTTGTTAATTGTTAATATAAAAATTTTCTTAACTGATATTCATTTTGCTCGGAGTTTGAATTTCCTTCGTAAAATAAATGCACCGTTTGTGTTTGTTTCATAGATATAAGGCAATATAAGAATCCATTAGAACGTCCATCACACTAATCGAATAAACGGAATTACGAAACTGACTTCGTGGTTTAAAATCTTCGAAAGCATTTAAGCGTTATAATGGAAAATGCAGCCATTATTTAGCCAAAAATTGCTTGCTTAGATTGTTTCGGGAACTGACAGCCGAAATAACTCGCAACTCGACTGAGACTTTTATAAAGGATCGAAAGAAATATTGAGCTTTGGAACAGCCAGATTAATTTATAAAGTTTGTAAAAAATCTATACCTATAATTAGTTTTTCCTCAAACGTTATTGCTATGAATGTTTTTGAATAAATATATGTTTCTTTTTCAATTTATGCAATAATGTTTAAAGAAAAATCTGTATAGAAGTATAACATAGACTTGATCCTTGCTCACGTACTACAATTAACAAAATTGTATAATGTAAATTAAGTTTATATTAATTAATCGCGTTTGCATGCACGCATGCTGTCCAGATTTTTGCAGAATTGAAATTAATATGTAGTATACAATGCGTTCATGATGTAAGGAACAAATTTGTTAAAAAATTCAAGTAATTATTTTGTGGAAAAACGCTTGAACACGTCGATTAGTATTTTTAGTTGCCAATTTTTGATCTAAGAAAATTGTATACAGGCTGTCGCAAGAAGGACATAAATGCAGTTATCATTGATTTTGTTTATTATGTCATTTTTGAAATGTTCGGTAAATTCTGAACACTTTTTGTATAACATACCATATCTCTAAAATCAGCGGTTTTCGTAATAATGACATTTGAAATGTGATAAATGGAGAAAAAATAATGTTTATCATAAAACATTTAAATAACATTTGCTTTGTAACAAATATTCAATGTTTTGTCCGTTTGTTTCAATACATTTTTGTAGTCGAAGGATTGTTTCCCGTTGAACGTTTTCAATTACCTCTGCTGGAATAAGTCTTATTTTCTGACGTATTCTCTATTTCAGTTCATCAAGGTTATTGGTCTATTCACATAAACTTTAGATTTCAAGTAACCCCATAAGAAGAAATCTAAAGGGGTTAAATCTGGTGACCCTGGTGGCCACTCAATAGGACCTCTCTCGAACTGCAATTGCAAAATGAGGAGGTGCCCCACCGTGTTGGAACCCTATGTCATTATGAGGAATATGTGGATCTTGTGGATTAGGAAACACAACAGCTAAAGCGGGGATGAGTTCAAACTGAAGAAAGTTTAAGTAGCGTTCTCCATTTCCAAAAAATAAGGTCCAAGAATTTGTTTTTCGACAATACCTGCCCAAACATTTATTTTTTAACGATGCTGTGTGTGACAGACTTGTGTCCAACGAGGATTTTCAGTTGCCCAGTACCTGCAGTTTTGTCGGTTTAGGTGTCCATTTAAAACAAAAGTAGCCTCATTAGAAAAAATAATCTTTCGGGAAAAATCTAAGTTTTGATTATTCATCTCAATTGTCTGCGTTTTTCAGTCAAAATCGTCTTCTAATAGTTCATGTATCAATTGAACCTTATAAGGATGATATTTATTTTTTCGGAGTATTTGTGACACAGATCCCGATGACAAATTACAACGGCGACATAGGGATTATTTACAATTTCTATTAAAACTTCTACTTTAGAATCTTCTGATATTTGCTGGTCTTCCTTTAGTTAAATCTCTAATGTGGCCGTGCTCAGCAAATTTCGATTCAATTTTTCTGACAGTAGATAATTGGATGTCGATCAGGATGAATTACATTAAATAATTACATACTTCTTGTTTAGTACGCACTCTGTCTCCAAAACCAGTCATCATAAGTACTTCAATACGTTCTTTCTCAGATAAATGCATTTTTAAAATGAAACGTAAAACTGACAAACTAAACGCCGGTGATAGTCTGGTTTTTAATGTCACAAAATACTATATCGAAATGGTTTAGGGGTTAAGGAATGAAAAACGATTAATAGGAAGAAAATTGTTTTGTTTAAAATAAAATTTGGCATATCAGGTTGTTTTCGTTGGCTTTTAAAGAAATGTTCAACGCTGTTCAATTTAAACATTTTATTTAATTACTTGTGTGCATTTCAAAATATCAATTTTCAAACGTCATTATTACGAAAACCACTGATTTGAGAGATATTGTATGTTATACAAAAAGTGTTCAGAATTTATCGTACAATTCGGATATAATATAATAATATCCATTATGGCATAAGTTCATTAAAAAAAATCAATGATTACTGCATATGTTCTCCTTGAGACACCCTTTATACAATTTTCTTATGTTAAAAAACCCGCAACTAAAAATACTAATCGAAGTGTCCGAGCGTTTGTTCACAAAATAATTACCTGAATTTTAAACGAATTTGTTCCTTTCATCATGAACCCACTGTATATTTAGTAATACCTAATTATCTGGAAGATGTAACTGTTTGAAAATTAAATTGTCCCTAAACTTTTCTCCAGTTAATTACAAATCAACATGGATTAGTTATATGTCTAATTACTGATGATAATTTGTAAGAAGTAGGTGGTTCTATATAGAAATTAAACTTGCCTTAAACTATGATACTCAAATATGTAGGAAGAGCTACCTTTATTCTAATAAAATTTATGCAAATGCTGAGTATCGTGAACAATAGCAACTACTAGTTTGTATATTCCGAATAACGACGTTACGCTAATGTATATTTCCATTCCTTTAGAAATTGGCAAACGTAAAGATAATTATCTTCCAAATTCAAATACATCTCGATAACAAGTTCCTTGGTGTATATTATACTTGTAGGAATTTATAAATTACATAATAAAACCACATACAATATAGCTAGGCAAATTATTTTGCCTGCTCTAAAACATATCAATGTGCTTTAAAGCATGAATAATGAATGTCATATTTTATTTTAGTAGTGATTAATTTAATAACTTAAGTAATTATAATTTGTTCATACTGTATTTTATGATCTATGATAAACAAATCTAGATGTTCATCTCAACGGATTTGAGCTGAAATTTGATTATTACAGGAATAAGAAGCCAAAAACGAGGTGTAATATTTTATATATCCTGTTTTCAATTAGAATCTAGGTTTTACCTGACTATTTGTGCAGATTACTGCATACATATTTTAACGTATTTTAGGCAATTAATACAATACGTACAAACATGAATATACTCACTTATATTGGTACACAATTACTACTAGAATATCCATCATGCATACCCCTACAAATTCGTTTGTAATTAATTTTCTTCGCATTGTTTTCCTGAGAAATTACTCAAACAGCAAATTTGGTGCTTTCGCCCATCAACGACGATATAGTCCTTCATAAAACACTTTGTATATTCAGCAACAACCAAATCAGCAAGTTTAACTTAACAACTAAATGATTTTGAGGCAATGCCTTCTAAAAGATTGTACAGAAAAATGCTTGTAGTTATAACTTACCGACAACAGTGCGCTTAAATATACCTTTACCTTTCTTTCAGGTGGAGCTAGTGAAGCAAACGGAAGAGGGGGATGTCAGCAACTACCAGGCCAACGGCGAATTCGATCTGATAAGTTTTTCGTCTGTGAAACACATTGAATTTTACTCGTGTTGCCCCGAACCCTACCCCGATATCACGTATACGATTAAGCTAAGAAGAAGGCCTTTGTTCTACGTATTCAACTTGATACTGCCTTGCATCTTAATAAACGGAATTGGTAAGTAGGTCTAAGGTTTTATACACCCTTTGATCAGAACTTTACTTAAGAACAAAGAATATTCACGACAATTTTAGTACTAAAGTAACCTATTCGTTACCAGCAAAGTAGTAGAACCAAAAAGACCCAAATTCTGAACGGTTTTGAATGTCGTACGTACTTGTTTTGACTATTACACCCTACTGGATTGCAATTTTTGTATGTTTATTTGTTAATTTGAACTACAAATAATTTAAATAAATCATGAAACCCACTGTATATTTCAAAAATGAAGAATTTCTTAGTTTAATCCATACGAACGTTTGTTATTATTTTTGGTAGGATAAGCACTGGCATCTTTCTGACAGTGGAATATCGCAACACCCCGTAGAGTCTGATTTTAAAATTTGGTCACCTTATTATTAATAAAACATACAGTGTTTCTACCAATTGTTTGCTGCTCGTTCACATCTATTTTTAAACATACCAAGCAACTATTGGGTCATAAGAATTAACAAGGTTCATCTCTAATAATACGATAAATCCTATAGATTTGCAAATGCACTTTCATGTGTCTTTCCTCCGTCATGATGCATCACCGGTTTGGCAACGTCCCTTCGGTAATTAATTGCAGGAAGATACGGAATGGGTATGTGAATACCATTTGCCCATGATTTACTGATATGCATACTACGTTTACATTGGCAAAGGCGTAACGTAATTAATTTCTCAAGGAACTTCCCTTAACATATTTCATTCCAGTTATTCGTTTCATTGGCTTTCAGGAACTTTGTTATAAACAAAACCAAATTCTACACCTTGTAACGTTCTAGAGCAAACCATATTTACACATCTTGCACTCCAAAGAATAGTTAATCCAAAAGAAATAATTCAATTTCTCAGAAGATCAAAATTCAGAAATATTGTCCAAAATACCATGCAAAAATACTTAAAGTGAAGCATAAAGAGAAGCCCCGAAAGGAAGAATCTAAGAAGAATAGGGTAACAAAAGGAGGAGTGGCATCCAAAAGGAAAACGAAAGAAGAAGAGGAATTCTTCAGAAATGTATGCATGCCCTGGATGCTCTGAGGAATACAGCGATCCGCCAGGCCAACCAAGACTAGATCCACTGTCACAAATTCGTAAAAATATCTATGCAAGAATTTTGCCTCACTTATTTCGGATTTGCTGGGGCAAAATTCCAACATCGCATTTGTTTATGTTTTTGTTATAAGATTTTTATGAACATTATATTTATTTTTTATATTATACCAAAGAAAACTTATATTTCGGCGTTATTTTTTCTTTCTATAATTGGTTCAATCCTAAGTGCAACCATTTGCCACATATTAGGTACTCTACATAAAATTTAGTGAGCGCAAATACTTTTTTAGAAAGTAAAAAAAATAAATGTATACAAAAAATATTTATTCGGATTTGGGAAAATATCGTTCTATATTTTTACTATTCTGAAAATAATTTTATTTCATTTTTTTTTATTAAACATCTACAATAGATATAGAAATTTGTGTTTTTTCCTGATATGAAATATTTACGGGCATTAACGTCTTAGAATTCGATAGAACGGTAAACCATGGCTGACAGCCATAATGACTAGAGTGTGTACGGCAACATGTCAAATAATTTAGTTAAGGAGTTTCCATCGTCTGCTAAGTAATAATTGGGTTCCTAATAGTTAACAGTTGCACATCATTCCGCTGAATGCGGAGTTCCGAAAAATATTTGCTCGTGTATTATTTAATTCATTTTAACAAGTTTTTCTCGTAAATATAATTAGAGCAATAAGTGAAATATGTCATAAAGAATAAATAGTTTTTCTTTCTCAAAGACTCCTCCTTAATGAAGCAGAGGGAGTTTTTAATGAAACATTTGTGAAAGAGAAATTTATTTAAAACTCACTGTGATTGTTTTGTTTTTTTTTTTAATTTGACAAAATCAGGAATTAAACGTGTTTTACTTCACAGCAAAACAAATTAACAATAAACAATTTCTCAGAAACTTATAGATACATTCTTAAATGAAAAATTTAGATGAAAAGATCTTTAATCGGTAATCACATTTAATAGACCTGTCGCTATGGACTAAAATAATCGATGAATTGACATCCGCTATTTTACTGTTGAAATATGCAGGGGAAGGCAATAGAAAAGGTATCTCATCTCGTGAATCAGTTTTTTTCATTAGCAACATTGTTTTTTTAAACAATTTGGTTCGAAAATCAGTTTTTTCAATATTTTGGAAAAACTATTGATTTTAGAGAAAACCAGAGGAAATATGCGCAATAAAAAGACCTACAAAATGCCGCGATAGATTAAAATCGGGTAAATTGTTTAAATGTTATTGTAAAAAAACTACAAAAACATGGAAAATTCGCATTTTTTTAATTATCCATAACTTGGTTGTTATTTGTTGGAATTTTATAAATATACCTGAAAGTTATTTTTTATTGTTCTTTAAAATTGTGCGAAAGATGGGCTGTGGGCAAAATAGTTTTTGCAAAATTCTATTTTTTATCCCGTCAACGTTAACCGTCTGTCTCTCCGAAAGTTATTAACAAAAAAGGGTTTAGAAAGTCGATTTTTAAAGCTTAAAACCTAACTTAGCTTTGCATTTACACGAAATTTTGATTTATTGCCGGGGGCTTTTTTGATTTTTACATTAACAATAGCTTTTTGCCACTTTTTTTATAAACATTTAGATTATCTCCAAAACCATGTATAATATTTAATTATAAAAAGTGTGATTGTATAGCCAATTAAAAAACAGATTTAAAAAAATTTTCGAGTAAAACTTTTTTTTTCAAAAATCACCGCCCCTGTAATTATACATGTAGGTAGTTAAGGGCCCCATATTCTTTAAATAGTGTTTTCCGCAAAGACAAATAATTTCAAACATTTAATAACTGAATAATCTAAAGCTTATCAAATAATAGGAATGTTATGTCATGCCATCTAGGTATTTTCAAAGACGCCGCAGTAAAACGAATAAACAGGTGCAAAAAACGATCAAACCATCAAGGTTTTAGGTACTGAAATCTACGAAAATACTAACTTTTTTATATATAATTCCACATGTAAATATTCTTATAACATTTACTTGCTTAGTCCTACATATAAAATTGTTTACTTTTATTTATAAGTACGTGAAAATAATTCTTAAAATGTGGGGTTAGAATAACAGCAAACGCATGTTTTACAAACGCTTTTTTTTAGTTATTATTTTATTTGAGTAAATTTAAATGGTAACAATGAATAAACAAAACGTCAAGGATTTCATTTTTGTGCTTACTTTTGTTCTACACGTTTTACTTTTAAAGATTTCAGTACCTAAAAACGCCAGAAATTTCACTATTTCTCGGCCGGGAATATGGCCACCTTAAATATTTTATTTCACACTTAATTTTAATTAACATTAATTTTGATTGTGTAACATTCCAACTCAAATTCGATTTTTCTTTCTGAATGAAAGTATAACAATTACTTGAAATTTTCGGACACCCTGTACAGATCTTTTTTTCAAATTAAAGTTCTGTCTTGATAAGAAGATCCTTTATTGTAAAAACTTGAATTTCAATATCACGGTCTTTCATCAGTTATCGAAATAACATCGATTCTTTTGTATTTTCTAGCGTTATTAGTTTTCTACGTTCCTTCAGAATCTGGAGAAAAGGTTACTCTTGGAATCAGTGCTCTTCTGTCCATGACAGTCTTCCTAATGACTATTAGAGAGACGCTACCGCCTACGGAGAAGACTCCATTAATCAGTAAGTATTTTGTGATTTCTTTATATCTTTCTGGTACTGTGTGTACAAACTTAGAGATTTACTTTTGATGAGGACCGATTATTAAATGTTTATCTCGGTAAAAGTTGCCCAGAAATGGCAGCAAAAATTATTTTTTTAAAATACATATCATTGTTCGAGAACCACAGAAATATTTCAATCCTGCTAAGTGCTTCAGCTTAACTCAATATTTGAAGTGGGTTTTAGACTGATTGTTCTATTATTAATATTATGTAGATATCTTTCTTCCACATGAACTAGGTTGCTCTCAATGGAAAACATGTATACACTTGCGGAAAAGTAGAAGAAAACATCGATTAATAGACGCTTTAAAATTAGTTATTTCTTAATTGTCACATAAAAACTGTGTGGGAGGATCCGCTGTCAGAGCCCCTATTCCTGCTCTGATATTAATTTCGGTTATTATTGTTGGTTCTTAAGTCTCTACGGACGGAACTGCTCCTCAAGGTAATGGTGATCCTATAAGACGTTCAGCACTGGCCTCTGTAACTGGTAATTTCTAAACATTTCGCCGTTCTTTACTCTCAGCGTCTTCAGTTTTGACTAGCTAGCTTTTTTAGAATAAGAACCGAAATGTACATCAGAGCGGGCCTACGGGTTCTACTAACGGATCCTCCCCCACAGAGGTTGGCCCGAGAACAACAAGGCCAGGTCAAAGATGTATCTTCTTACCGAGAAGAATCAGTTCTGAAAGTTTATCGCTTCTGTTGCACCCTTACCAGTAATAACTTCTTTCTTTTATAAAAAGGTTTAAGTGAATATTTTGAATAATTCTACGGAAATGGTGAAACATTTCATCGGTTTCTCACTGTAAGCAACTCTCAGCCAGTGAAGTATCAGTCAACTAATTTTTCGTGTAATTACCCAAGTTGAATCAGTCTTTAGAATCCATTGTTATTTAGAACAATGACAGTTTGGAACTCTCAATAAAATTGCGTGAATGTACCATTAACTTAACTAAACTTTCCATAAAACGGAACAAAAACATTTGTGAAAAGTTTACGTTTAAATAAAATGGAGTAGGCGGAGTCTTATTTTATTTATAGCACATTTGTACAAAATACATTAAAAAATTATTAAAAATTTGACTACAACATTCAGAAATGGCGGAAAAATTATAAATTGGTAGCCCGAAATGTTTGGGCATAATGTAGATAATACATTCCTAACCTGTATTTATAGTTACAGTGGGATACTATCCACTTAACAATTATTAAATATGTCTACAGCAAATAATAATAAAAGTGTTTAATTCGAGTAATATCTTATCTCCATTTATAATTCAAGGAGATACATGCAAGTAAAATGAAAAACGTATTTGACTTATTTCAGGTATGTACTACGGCGTAAGTATCTGTTTGGTGTCATTTGCGTCAGGATTGTCAGTGGTAACTTTGAACATCTACCACAGAGGCGTAAGGGGTGCGGCAGTACCAGGGATTTTGAGGTCCGTGGTCTTAGATAAGCTTGCTCCACTAGTCTTCATGAGATTTAATAATAACAGGCACGGGAATCCCCAAATCCAGGTAAGAAAAAACTTATTAGATAGTAAGTAGAACGTTTGATAGAAAATAACTAGATTGTGACAACTGATATGATTTAAATTTGAATATTTCTGTTTCTCCATTTTGTGTAAGTGCTCTTTTTGTGTAAAAAAAAATCGAAGAAAGTTTTATTGTAAGTTGCTTACAATCAGAATATACATTCTGTTACAAAATCGCTTCTCACTACAGGGATCTCGGAAACGGTAAGAGATACGAAGTAGCTTAAATGGGAACAAAGTTGCATAATCAGGGGAGCAACATTATGCCTCTAAAACTTCAAGACTAACATGATTAGTTTTCGAAATATTTGAAAAAAAAAACGAAATTTTGGAAATCCGTTTTTTATTCATTTCAGCCTTGTTTGAGGTGATATTGAAAACAGAAGAACGCTTTTTCATGGCAACTTCATTTTTTTAAATACAATCTTGGAAATTTTATTACATTTTTTGCAAACCTTCATTACCCCCAATACTGTATCTACTGCCTCAGCCCGAACCAGATTCAGACGTTTTGTCTCGAAAAATTTATCTTCAATGTGTTCGTTCCAATTTATCAATTTTTTTTTTTAAGTTTTATGTTATAATTTTTTATTATGAATAACTTTTACAAAAATAAACAACTTCTCTTCTTTCAACTCCATCTGTGGACACACCGTATCATATTAAAAGTACTTTTTCAAATTTGAGTACTTTCATAAAACATCGAATGCTCATTTTTTTACTTAAACAAATGTTCTCTATTAATAAAAACAAGAAACAATAGACGTATAAAATATATTTTCCTGGCATCGAAGCCAAATGAAGAAAAAATAAGAGTACACCGAACACTCTTTCTTATCGGGCTCATTTCTATAAAACTTGTTGAATATTTCATGAATCTCACGATTTATAGCGACTATTTCAATTGTGGAAACGGAATAATATAACTTGCCAGCTACCTGCTGAAAATGATTATGTACAGCCTGATTTGCCCTATATCTGTATTCGATTCAAGGTAAATCCAAATGGTAAACAGGTTTTATTCGAGAGCTCTATTATACAAACAATTTCACAATTCACTTGGTAGCGGTAACTTTATTGTATTTTAAATTCATCCAATGGAGTGCTACCCATTGTCTTTATTTACTCGGGTAATAATTCATCGATGAACTATGACGTTAAGTTTTCCATAGCCATAAATCTTGAAATAATTAATTGGGAAAGTTTACACAATAATTCTAGTTAAAATAAAGTTACTGATACTCTAATGCCACGAAGATTCTCTGTAACACCAATAAGAAAACGTTACGTTTACGTACCTTACTTCCGGGACATTAGCAATGATGCAAATTAAACAGATGATGAATGAAGAACAGATAGATTTTGTTAATTTTTTTCTTTTGCCTTAATTTTTGCAAAAAGGTCAAATACCAATTCACAAGTTAAATGTTACAAACATAGGCGCGTTTTTAAAATGCAGAAATAATACAGATCTATCTATAGTGGCTAAATTTATGGTATAATTCAATGCTGGTTGTGGTCGAAAATTTTTAAATATGAAAATATCGTCAATTAATGAATATGAAAGGAAATACATTATTAACAAATTAGAGGAGTTTGGAATGAAATATTTTGTTAAAAAATAAATAACAGAAGACAAATAACTATGGTGTGTATATTTTGATCTCCTTGCCATAATTATGAACTTACATTACAGGAAATTAGTTTTTCTGAGTCCGAAAACAGAAACCAGTGCCTAGTATCTGTCTATTAGAAATTTACTGCTGATTTATTACTTTATAGAAATATTATTTCTTCCACAAATCTAATATTTTTTGTGTAATCATTTGCACCGCCCAATATTCCTAAGTGGTGAAACGACAGACCGCATTAGTATCCCTGGAGCCTTCTTTGAAATAAACCGACTATAAAATGCTTAGACATCATTAAAGCGCGCTAAATACGGCGAAGTATCATGATTGATTGACTGAAAATTCCTTGAAAAATAATAAGGTTGAAATGAAAATTCAGGCCGCAGTTTATTAATCAACTTGAAATCAAAATATTTACATAGATAAAAAGGAAAACGTATCTGCTGTATTCAAGGTCGCAACATGTTTCAGTATCTATGAACAGATGATATTAAATCTTTGTCTCGAGATCAACTTTCCTGTAAAAAACTTGATCCACTGCATCCAATCATGTATGATTTATACAGTTTGTAACAGAAATTATGCTATATAAGATTTTCGGTAAGAAACTTCATTCAATTCCATTATAACTACGAATTACTAACCTTTTTTTCATTCCTACCTTCATTATAGAATTCAATAAGTTACAATTAATTGTTTCATCTACAACATTATGAAGTTGCATGAGGAGTTCCTCAGGGTTCACACTTGGACTCTTTCGCCTATCCATTAATAACCTTGACAGAATGCTTAATTAAATGAGGTTTTTGTGTGCTGATGATCTTAGAATCTGTACTCCAATCTTTTCCGCCAATCAAGCCCTTCTGCAACAACTCAATAAACTTGTAGAGTGGTCTATTAACAACAAACTTAACCTAAATGTGAATAAAAAGTCCAATTATGTCTTATATTATTATCATATTAATTCGCAAACATTAAATTGATAAGTTGTACTAAGGATTTGGAGGTTATTTTATATATATAACACTTTATGCTTTTCACAACAGATCTAGAAAAAATATATTAGATCTTATTTGGAGATCTTCTTATTCTTTCGTTAGACCGAAGCTTGAATATTGCTCTTTAATTAGAGACCCATATTATGGTTGTTACATTAATAATATTGAATCTATTCTGTATCTTATATTCTTTCTCAGTTAATTTTTTTGATTCCACATTCATCAAAAGTGTGTTACAATACAAATCTATGGTCGCAATATCACAAACGATTTTTTATATGAATATTTTTTATGCCTGGCGATTTTTTATAATGGAACTTCCCACAACAACGGAAATTTTTCTTTTCGGAATTCCGTAAATATCTCCACATTTGTGAATCAATTCAGTTCTCAAGAACCGGTAAAATTGGTCTTGTTTGAGTTCCTATTTGTCAAAGACTAGGAAACTTTCTATTCAACACAAGTGCCGATCGAGAGTTAGATTCAATATTATTTCGTGATTCCATTCGAATTTAATGGTCATATTTAATGGTTATGTGCGAAATATGCACATTATGCATAAATTAATTTTATCAGAAATAAAATAGAAGTACATTTATTTAAACATATAAATTTGTTCTTTTCAACTATTACAATGCGTTCAAATGAATATATAGGAAGTAACTAAAATTCTTGCCCAAATTTTACTACGGATCCTATGTCGTTCTGAGATACAGGAAGTCAAAAAATGTAGCATGTAGATTTTTTTTACATTTACTCGTTACAGAGTAGCTACTAAAGGCTTTCCAAAATATATTATTGCGGCACATTTCTACAATACACCATCTTGAAAATAAATGATGAAATATCAGATTATATCTCAGTAATTATTGTTAAAAATATCAAAACATTAAAGTATTTAATTTAAGTATTGTTGTATTCAATTCAAGCAATTTGTTCTTGCGATTTTCATGAATTTTAGACACCCTGTATATCTAAAGCAAAGAATTCTGGACACATGTTTATAGGATTTTTTTGTAAATTGGTAAGTTGTAGATCATGCTAAAATATTATGTCGAAGCGAAACTCAACAATTTTCAAGTCAGGGAATTTCGCTACAGGTTTTCGTACAATTTCTAAATTATTTACACGCATCCGCTACCCCGTATTTTAAAGGATCTTCAAACGGATTAGGCTCGTTAAGCGTAACATTGCTGATTTGAACAAATATTAGTTCATCCCAACTTTCCACTTTGCTTTCAACATTGAAAGGCAATTTGAGGTCATTTACTCAAAGAAGCGCTATGCTACATTAAACTTTGTCTCCAAGTTGCATAAAACCTTTTGGCAACTAATTCTTATGTATTATTTTCAGTTAAACGAAAAACAGCCATTCCTATTAGCTATAAGATCTCATTTTGTAAGGATCGCATGGCTAACACTACTTGTAAAATTTTATCTTCAACATTTCATTGGTGGTTAAGATAAAAAAGTCGTTATCTCATAAGAAAATCATTTGATATTAGTGTTGTAGTATAACAACCCTAGGTTCGATAAAAAAATAAACGTAGTTGTGGCCAAAAATATGTGATTGTCATAAGGACTACCTACGTTGTGTGTATTTATTTTTTTAATTGACCGGAAGGCGCTGGCTACTAACTTTGTAGAGGGGATGTATGGTTTAATTATATAAAACAAAAGCAGAGTAAATACACCTAACCTTTATTTACATACAATTCAAATTAAACATGTGACAAATAAAAAGAACAACAAAAACATTAACAACCATTAAACATAAAAGGAGAGTGCCAGGCTCACCTAGAGCTCCTGCGGGGAAAGAGCATGGCAGAGAAACCCACGATCGTTGCTCTCACCACCCAAATATAAATACAAAACAACCGCTAACCAAAGGAATAAATTAAGATCCTTTGCTAATGATAATCAAAACTGGACTTACTTAATGTGTCACTAAATGTCATCTCACTCAAGTCTGACATACACACTTCCAAGTAAAACTGAAGAGGTTTTAGTAACAATAATACCAACAACAACAACAACAATAATAATAATAGCAATAATAATGGGGAAGGTACTGGAGTCCCATAATACGGAAGGCTATCCAGTTAAAGTTGAGATTTCGGGAGAACAACAACAATAATAACAATAATAATAATCATGGGTGAAAATGTTAGTAAATTCAACAAAGCTCTTACATACGTATGACATAAAGTGAGCACATGAAGTCAAAGAACAACGTAATCAAGATAAAACAAGTTAAATGTGAAACAAAGAAGTTGTTTTGCATTATCTGGGCAGATACGACAATATATACATATTTCAACATGTAACAAATAATGAACAATCTCCAATAATAA